AGAGAGAGAGAGAGAGAGAGAGAGAGAGAGAGAGGGAGAGGAGAGAGAAGAGAGAGAAGAGAGAGAGAGAGAGAGAGAGAGAGAGATAAATACAGCCACACAGGGACCTATGGAAAAATAATTTAAATATTTGGTGTGTTTAAAGCTGGGCATGGTGGCACATGCCTGTGATCCTAGCGTTCTGGGAGGCTGAGGCAGGAGGACAAGTTCGTGCCCCAGCCTGAGCAACTTGGTGCCTTAACAAGACCCAGTTGCAAAATAAAATATAAAAGCAGTGGGGGAAGGAGTCTGGGGATGTAGCTCAGTGCCAAGGCCCTGAGTTCAATCCCCAGTACCGCAATCAATCGATCGATCAATCTAAAAATTAAAGGCAAATAGTTTATTTTAATGCTTCGAAGTGGTAAGAGGAAGCTACCCAGCTGCTCCTGCGCACGAACCCCACACCCGTCAGTGTCCCCGTGTCCCTTTCGCCGACCCGCGGTCCCCGCTGCCGGCCCAGTCCCGACCTGCGTCCGGAGGGGACCGGGCACCGCGGACCCCAGAGACGACGCGAGGGCCCAAGTACCTCAGAGTCACTTCCGGCCAGCTCCATCCAGGCCCTGAGCCCCCGACTCCCCCGCTCTCACCATTTCCGGCTTCTGGGACGTCCCGGCGTCCTCCCTACGGCTCCCACGGTCACTGCAGATCACACACAGGAACAGGGGCTGCGGCTGACTGACCTGAGGCTGGTTTGGACGGGAGACTCTGGATGACAGCGCCGCCGGAAGAAGCAGCGAAATCTACCAGCCGTTGCGTAGCGACTGCCCACCCCTTTCCGGGGGCGCGGCTGATTGGATAGTTACCACGGGCCCGCCCCTTTAGCGCTGAGTGACAGCGCTGCTGGGGTCACGTGACTTGGCCCGCCCGCACTCGCAGGCAGTCGCCGGCTGACCACTTGTTTTTTCTCGGCTCCGCGTCCCCTCCGCCACAGTACTGGAGATGGAACCCAGGGCTTTACGTTAAGCAAGCACTCTACCTATGAACTGCACCCCGGCCGCAACACATTTGCGTTTAAGGAGAACTTGTTTCCAGCTCAGGAGGAAAATTGGCACAGGTGTGGGAGCCGGGCATGGCGGCACACGCCTGCAGTGCCAGCACTCTGGGAGGCTAAGGCAGGACGATCGCAAGCTCATGCCCAGCCTAGGCAATTTAGAGACTTAGCGAGACCTGTCTCGAAACTTAAAAAAGAAGGGAGTGATGGATAGGGATGTAGATAGATCAGTGCAATAGGAAGTAGCTGGGGATGTAGCTCAGTACGAAGCCCCTGTGTTCAACCTCCAGTTTAACTGATAATAATAATAAATTAAAAATGTAAAGGACTAGGGAGGGGCCGGGGATGTAGCTCAGCGGTTCCACCACCTGGCAAGCCCAAGGTCCCTAGTTCGATCCCCTGTACCAAGGGGGGGGGGCTAGGGATGAGGCTCAGGGCAAAGGCATGGGTTCCACAATACTGAAACAATAATAATCAGGTGGACATGGACACTAGAAACGAACTGCGAAATGCAGAATTCATAGCCTCACTGATAACATTCTTAACGCACTGCATCGCAGCCCCAGTCAGTGGCCATGCTACAGCTCACCACTGGGCCCTCTGCCGCTTTGCTTTTTGGTCATGAGCTCAGAGGGACACAAAGGTGTGAATCGAAGCATCCGTGAGCTCGAGGTCCCGAGTACCAAAGAGCCTGGTGACACCACCATCACTCCGGATCCTCGGGACAGGTGCTCTGCGGGAGAGGAGGCCCCGGAGCTCAAGCCATAGGCTTCCCAGAGCGCACAACCACTGCCTGGCCGGGAAAAGACCCAGGCTGCCGAGAGGGTGCAGACTGTGTGGTCTTCAGGCGCCAAAGCCCCGCTCCTGCACAGTCAGGGTAACCTCCCTCCTGCTTGCCGCCAGACCGGAAGTCCTTCTGAAACTTTTTTTTGGTAGTGGAGCGGGGGAGCGCCTGGGATTGAACCCAGGGCTTTGAGGATCCCTTGTAAGTGCTCTGCCACCTCCAACTTCTGAAACAATCTTTTAAAATTTATTCAAGGATGGAGGTAAGTGATCAACGATGACATCTTTACTCTGCACAGAAAAGATACTCCACACACCCCCAGTGTCCCTCTTATTTCCTTCAAAGTTCTCAATTCCCTTTTTGGTTTTTCTTTGAGGCAAAGTCTCCATGGGTAGTTCAGGCTAGACTTGAACGCCCTATGGAGCCTAGCCTCAAATTCAGCCATCCTCCCACCGCCAAAGCAGCACCAGCGACATAGGCATATGGCAGCAATTATGAAATGCACGGAGTTACGTGCCTGTCACATCCTGTAACGGAGTGAAAGCAGAAAAGCAAACATTTAGCTGGGCTTGGCGGCTCCTGCCTGTGATCCCAGCTGCTCAGGTGTCTGAGGCAGGAGGAGGATTGCAAGTTTGAGCCCAACTTAGGCAACTTAGTGAGAACCTAACTCAAAATTTGAAAAAAGAAAAAAAAAGCAAACTATTTGGGGGGATGGTTGTTTTGAGACAGTGCCTCACTATGTAGCTGAGACTGACCATGCCCGGCAAAAAGCAAACATCTGATCTAGCTCAAATAAGCAGCTTGCTTTGCCCACAATTCACAAGGCAACCATCATTCAGGTTAACCTGAGACGGGCATGGTGGTGCTGCCGGTAACTCTAGCACTCGGGGAGGCTGAGAAAGGAGGGTCACGGGTTTGAGCCCCACCTAGGCAATTCAGTGACTTGTGAGACCCGGGACCCCCCTGGTACCAGGGATTGAACTCAGGACCCTGCACTTGAGAGGAAGCAGTGCTATTGAGCTAAATCCCAGGCCCCAAGACCTTATCTTAAAACACAATTTTAAAAGGTCTGGGGAAGCCAGACATGGTGGCACACGCCTGTCTGTAATCCCAGCACTCAGGAGGCTGAGGCAGGAGGATTGCCGCGAGTTTGAGATCAGCAGGGGCTACACAGTGAGTTCCATCCAGGTCAGTCTCAACTACATAGTGAAGCCCTTTCTCAAAAAAACAAAAATAAATAAGAGGTCTGGGGATATACATTAGTGCAAAGACCCCAAGTTCAAATCCAAGTACCAGAAAAAAAAAAAAAAAAAAGTTAACATATTCCAAGCTTGAAGCCGCACTAATTGCTGCTGAAGCGGAGGGCCGGGTGGATCAGCCTCCAGCAATGCAGCAGGGACACCTCAGGACATAATTGGGGCTCCAGTGCCCACGCCTTGCTGTCCCCTCCTCAGAGTGTGGAAATGCTCCCTCCTGATAATTTTTCACAGGGAAACTATAACCAGAGTCAAGGGATGGTGGTGCAGGCGCAGACATTGCTCACCCTAACGCCTGAGCTACGGTCCTGTGCCCAGGTCATTCGATGCACTGGTCACCAAATGAGGAATGGCACATGATGGGTACAGTACAGTATTCAGAAAAGAAGAAGTGGTCCAAGGAAGCCCAACTTGATGACTTTGCTTTTATTTGCAAGACTTTTACATGTAGTCCTATCGTGTAAAACAACATAAAACTATAGTACGGTACTGTACAACCAGCAAAAATTACAGTACCGTCCTGCAGGAGCCACCCTGAGGCCGCACTGCCGCTCACGTCACTGGGTCCTAAGTTGGAGCTGCTGATCGCAAGTCTGAACAGCACGCCTCAGTCATGAGTACAAACGGTCATTAAACAGGTAAGACATTAAACGAGGGACATCGGTAACTGCACAAAAATATTTTTTTTTCTTTCAGTGCTGGGGATTGAGCCCAGGGCCTTCATGCATGCTCGGCAAGTGCTCTGAGCTACATCCCTACACTTCTATATGTTTTTCTTGGTTTTCTGAGGCAAGGTCTTGCACTGTAGTTCGGGCTGGCCTCGAACTCACTATGTAGCCCAGGCTGGCCTTGAACGCTTGGCGATCCTCCTGCCTCAGCCTCCCCAGTGCTGGGATGACAGGCACGTGCCACCGCAACTGGCTCTTTTTAATTTAAAAATAGTTGAACTCTTTAACTTTTCGTTAGAAAAACTGACACACAAGGTTGGGCCTACACGTGGTCAGGGTCACTGACATCAGTACTGTGTTCCCCGCTGCGTCCCATGGCAAGGCCCTCGGGGGCGATGACTCGCATGGTGCCGTCGTCAGCGATGATGATGATGCCGCCTTCTGGGATGGCTCCCGAGGGACCTGCCTGGGTCTCGCCAACCTGTGCCCCTCCTTTCAGAATGGCGCCCCTTCCTTTTTGCTTCCTTTTGGCATCGTAGATCCGCTCGTAAGCAGACAGCGCACCCCGCACGCCCCTCTCCACTGCTGAGAACCTCTCAGGGTTGGGGTCCATGCTCTGAAACTTCTTAAGCAGCTGGTTGAGGTCCGAGAAAGCCTCTGCTAAGCCTGTCACTGTGAACTTTCTTGGGGCTGCTCCTCTGTCCCCTCGCGTGCTGTCCAATTCTCTGGCCTTGTGTCCCTGTCCCAGCAACTCCTCACGGGCCAGGCCCTTGGGCGGCACCTCCAGCACTTCCTTGATGTCATCCTCGTCAGTACCCAGGGGAAAGCTGCCCGTCACCTTGGCCACAGCCTCGCTGACCTGCACCGCCTCCTCCTCCTCCGCCGCCGCCGCCAGCCCTCTGAAGTCATGCACAAACCTCCGCAGCGTCTTCTTCCAGATGCCGGGCACACGCTCCTGGGGGACATCGGTGCCCGCTTTGACGTCATGTAACGAGTAGCGGTTCTTGAATCTTTTCAACCACCCAGAGCTGGCACTGAACTCCACATTGTAGCCAGGCCCGGCCTTTTCCTTCAGCATTGCAAACAGGCTCTTGGCCTTGGCTGTGATCATCATGGTGCTGAGGGGGACGCACTGCCGGGTCTGGTCCTCGATCCAGGTCATCAGCAGCTTCTCCATGTCCGAGATGGGGCCCTCTCGAATCTTCGTCAGCCTCGTGGCCTTCAGGGATGCAGAGCCTCTTAAGGCTTCCGTCACTTTGTTCCTGTTCTTCAGGATGGTGGCGATGGTGGAGTGGGACATGCCTGACTGGCGGGCAATGACCATCACTGGTTTCCCACCCTCGTAGTCCTGAATCAGTTTTAGTTTCGTTTCCAGGTCGATCACCCGACGGGGCCGCTTACTGGTCATTTTAGCGGTGGCTTTTGTATGGGGAGGGGCCATGGCGCACCGGAGAACCCTGGCTGCGGTGACCGCCGGACTGCACGCCGTTGTATCCTAGGGCGTCATCACGTAGCACAGGACAAGGTAAAGTAATCTGCGCCCATTTGGAGGTTCTGTGTTAACACTAGAAGGGAAAAAAGTCAATCAGATAATTCCAGTGGTGGCAGATTACAAGAATACATTGACAGCCTCGGCACGGCAGCGCACACCTTTAACCTCAGCACTTAGGAGGCTGAGGCAGGAGGATCACTGCAAGTATGAGGCCAACCTGGGCTACAAGAGACCGGTTTTGTTTCTACAAAAAAATAAAGTGCAAACAAAGGCAAAGCAGGAAGATTTCTTTCAGTGGAGTCTCAGGTAGTCATTCTCTGCTTTCCTCTCTGACGAAAAGACCCCAGACAAAAACCCAAATCTAAAAAAGAGCATCCACGGCTTCATGAAAACAAACACAACACCGCGTCTGTAAGAAATGCACAACGAAAACCAGTGGATTTGGCTGTGGGCTGTAGGTGGAGAGTTGGCAGTGAGGGTCAGGAAGAGCAACTCTTAAGGATTTACTGCCGGCCCTAAGAAGGGCGAGGCTCTGGCGGACAGACAGGTGGGTCAGATGTCTGCTTGTTTCTGAGACAGGGTCTCACTCCGAACTTCAGGCTGGCCTCGAACTCACGGCGGGCCTCCTTCCTCAGCCTCCCGAGCGCTGCGATTACAAGTGCGGGCCATCGCGGCTGGCTAAGAGATGCTGATGTGAGCCGATGCTTTCTAGGCATCCGGACGATGCAAAGCAAACGGGTGACCCCTGGGGACCCCAGGACCTCAGCCGTCCCCGTGCACGAACCCCACTCCCGAGTGGGGTCCCCGGTGATCCGGCGACCCCCACCGTGCCTGCACAGAGGGCTCCGGGCCGGGCCGCAT